GCTTCATTATAGGGCAAAATGCTAGGACTTTGTGGTGGTGTGTTTTCGTCTAGCATTGCCGCTGTTAATTTTTCTTGTTTCTTTCTTTGGTAATATGCCTTGTAATTTTTTCTCCATCTCTTCCTCTGTACCCTTTGTTGTCTTGGATTCATTTCTGCTATCGGTAGTTGTTTTTTTTCTTCTTTCCTGCGTATATAGTTTTGTCTATTCTTTTCTTGTTTTTCTTTCCATAATTCTGCATTATTCTTTCATATCTTCTCTTCTCCGCTAGTCTTTTTTTTTCTTAGTCTTTCTTCTCTTGTTTGTAATTTTGTTTTGCCATTTTGAAAATATGTACCTGAAAAAAAATAATGCTATTCAAGCGACGATCCCAAAACCTCAAGCACAGCAGTCAAACTTCGGAATAAAAACCAACAGGTCGGGTATTATGACATCTTAACGCCAGGCAGGTTCCGCTGAGGGAACGAGATGGCGCTAGACAACTTGTATAGCTGTGTCTCGTTCCCTCAACGGAAACTGCCTGGATTTAAAATGTCATAATACCCCACCAGGCAATTAGCTTTTTTTATTTCTTAAGTAATTTTATTGAAATTAAAATATGACTAGTACTAATAAAGACCTATTTCCAGAGAAAAATAATTATTTCCATGGTATTTCAACACAAAATTGTGCATTTGAAGCCAACATAAATAAACAAAGATAAAAACTACAATAAAGAAATGTTATTAGACATAATTAATCTGCCACATTAAAATTAATCTGGTCTTTTAATACTGCCCGAATTTGAATGAAACCTAATTCATATGGTCCGCTCAAATTCATCTGGCTTTAAGAGCCAGATGAAACCAGACTAATGGGAGCCAGAAAAATTAGGAATTCGCAGTCTATCAAATCCTGCTCCTTTGTTTATAAACGTAAAGAATCAAACATGCAATTAATGTTAGCAAAACCTCTCATAGCACACTTTGATTTGGCAACAAAACGAAAGTAGATACACACTATCAATTAATTAAGACAGATTGATTATACTACTTACGTTACAAACGCCAGAAGTCAACTTGCAATCGTATTTTTCTGCAAAAATATGTCCACGCACGAGTACTCGCTGTCACCGTTCGGCGCTGACTGGCGCGATCAACTTACAAGTAAATATTACTCTTTCAAATACTTTTTATTTACGTAGATATAATGTTAAACGAATCGAGCCAGCTTAATGATGAATTTAGTCGGGGACAATTTTTAAAATTATGTAATTATGAAAATATGCATTTTTTTTGTATTTAAATATTAAAATATTAAGAAACACATATTTAAATATCGCTGGAATTCATTAGTTTTAGTGTAACGCGACCACAGCTTACAGACGGTTAAATAATGTAATAAAAACCGTCGTTGGGACATGCCAAACTAATTAGGTTTTACTGTTTTCTGCAAACTTAATTATAGTTTTTTTTAATAAATCCTAATTAGCTACAGCAGGCCTCGATAGACATTTACCCTTAACATAAAACCTGAAACTATCATTCAAATCGAAAGTTCTTTTGATGTGTTCTTCGGTCAAAAACACGTCAAAACTGTGTTTCAAAGAATCACCCAGGTAAATTTGTATGGGACAATTTATTGTTTAAGAAATATTCATCTCTCGTTGCCTCGTTGGCCGAGTGGTCGCAAGTGCGACTGCCGGGCAAGGGGTCTCGGGTTCGATTCCCGGGTTGGGCAAAGTATTACTGGGTTTTCAAAAATTCTCAGTAGTAGCACGGAGTCTGGAATTGTGCCCAGTATATGGCAATAAGCTCACCCCTATTACATGGGACTCATAACATAAATAGTGAAAAGTGGGTGTTACATTGTACTGTGGCATTAAGTGCCGTAATGTGCACCTCTGCCTACCCCTTCGGGGATAAAAGGCGTGATGTTATGTTAAATATTAATCTTAGATATAAGGCCCACCACAATGTCTAGCCATTTAAATCCCAAAAGGGGTAGAGACAGAAAACAGAGAAAGGGGCACAGAGGTGTTCATATATGATGTAACATTCACTTTTTACCAGTTGTATTATCCTATGTATACCGGGTGAGTCAATTGACATAATTGACCCATTCGGATGGGGCTTGTCCGCCAACACCGTATAGTATGTTGCACCTGTATTATTAGCTCGTTTATACACACATACACATAACATCATGCCTTTTATCCCCGAAGGAGTAGGCAGAGGTGCACATTATTACAATGTAACACCCACTTTTCACTATTTATGTTGAGTCCCATGTAATAGGGGGTGAGCCTATTGCCAAATACCGGGCACAATTCCAGACTTCGTGCTACTACTGAGAATTTTTTAAAAACCCAGTAATACTTTGCCCGACCCGGGAATCCAACCCGAGACCCCTTGCCCGGCAGTCGCACTTGCGACCACTCGGCCAACGAGGCAGTCAATTTTTATTGTTATATTTTGTTATAATGTATATTTGTTTTTGTTCCTGGCGTGCATGTCTTATGCCGAATAAACATATTTCATTTCATTTCAACAATTTATATACCAGGCACAACTCCCAAACAAATAATTTTTAAAAATGAAGTATAGTTCTACTTTGGTCAGCCCAGGAAACCAACCCAAAACCACTTTACTGGCATTTGAGACAAAGGCAACCTAAGATCCTACTTTAATGTACTTATATGACGAGCAACCTAACGTTAAATTCCATATTACCATTACATTCACATACATTTTTATAAAAATTGATTTTTTAAATCATCGAATCATGGTGTTTTAACGTCATAATCAAACTAAACAATACTAACCTCAATTGTTGGTTGAAATCATCCTGTACGATGTCATCCTCCCAGTTGTCCTCCCAAACTGACACGTCTTCGTCATCAGCATCTTCAGTTCCCCAATCTAAAACGAAATAGCATCAAAATGAGCAAAATTCTCACAAAGTTCGGTCTACTAAAAAACTAAAATGTCAAAAAATCTTACTTTCAGCGGGGAATTCTTCGAATTCATCGTCTTCTTCAAGAAGGCCGAGGTCTACTTTCTGTTTGTCAGACATTTTGGGATTAATTTTGTTGTATTTCGTAGAGAAATTAGAAAATTAAATGTTTATTTGGATTCGCCTTCGACGCTAACTTGCAAGTTGGTGAATTTGACAAGTCACTGTGTGAGTGTTGCTGCATTTGGAAATAAAATTAGTACTGTAGAAATTGGTAGATTTTGTTTTATTTGATGCGGCAATAGTGCAATATTTCACTATTGCAATAATTAAGTATAGTATAGTTGCGGGAAATATAAATTCATACGTCATATTTTGTTTTTTTTCCTTTGTATTTACGTAAAATAATGAGTATAAAAAAATATTATAATTAATGAATGCAAAATATTATATATCCTGAAAAATTAAAGTAATTTTGAGAACTTTTTCAGTTTACATACATAACATCACGAAGGGGTAGGCAGAGGTGTACATTATGCCACTGTACAATTTAACACCCACTTTTCACTATTTATGTTACGAGTCCCATGTAATAGAGGGTGAGCCTATTGCCGTATACCGGGCACAATTCCAGACTCCGTGCTACTAGTACTACTGACAATTTTTTAAAAACCCTGTAATACTTTGCCCGACCCGGGAATCGAACCCGAGATCCCTTGCCCGGCAGTCACACTTGCGACCACTCGGCGAACGAGGCAGTCATTTCAGTTTATCAAAGAAAAATTCTAATAACAGCAACTCTAAAATATGCCTAGGTACGGCATGGCACTAGAACATAACTAGTCAAAATAAGTGTTGCATTGAAATTAATATGCTTCTACCTACCCCTTAGTTTTGTGGAGGAGGAATGTTAGTGATGTTGTTTCTTACTGAGTGATTAACAACTACCCTGTTCCATTTTTTTTCCAACAACACGGCCATGGTGCCTACGGTATATGGATAGGCTCGCTTGCAACCATGGCAAGCATCGGCTATAATAGGGCCTGTCTGTGATAATCTGACGCCTCTTGGAGGTGCGCGAAGTACGCAACACGCTGAATACTTTGAACTTTACCTTTCCTACAGCTACATGTTGTGAAATAAAAAGTAAATAAACAACTAATGTATTATTTTCACACATTTATTTGACTTAATTATAAAATAATCGTCACATAGATATTGCTTGTAATCTCGATAGTACAAGCGTAAAGTCTTAAAATTAAAATATATCACAAAATATCACATAGTACAGAAATCAGACTACAATAATATATGGTGACTTACGATAGCTTTAATAAAATAATATAGATATATTAATAAATGGTCGCACGAAATCAAAAAGAATTTCACTCTTGAGATCGTGCTAGTGACTAGTGAATTTAGGTGTTAAATCTTATTAGTCTAATCAGTGAAGTTGACAAAAGTTGATGGATTAATGACTTGATAATAGAAAATATTCTTTGATCTAGAAACCTTAAGTTATAGCGGTATCTAATAAGTCTAAAACCCTTAAAAGAGATATGTTTTTATCACTACTCCACAAATAATACCAAAAAATTTAATTCTGTGCGTGAAATGGTGTACGAGAAATGTGAAACATAAATCAATTATATATATTTTCCATTTATTTAAAGATTTCCTATTTAATAGGAAATCTTTTTTTAATAGGATTTCCTATTTAATAGGAAATCTTTTTCAAGGCAAATATATCGTATTCTCGTTCTAAAAATTCCAGAGAAATATTTTGCTCAATAATTATAAAAATGTTTTGATTTCCTTCTTTCTTATTTTTTCAAATACATATGGATTATGTGTAAAACAAATAAAATAATTAAATATAAGTACAATGATTAAACTTAAAATCTAAGTTCGACAAAAATGTGATTTCTTCACTTGAGATACAAAAATACAAGTTTACCACAAAGAACTAAGTATACAAAAATAGGAGCACATTATTATATCAAACTCTAATGTATATACAACATATGAACAGTACTAGCCCACTTATGAACTCAACTTTTCATTTCTGCTCAAAAAACATCGTGCCATTTTATCCAACTCATCAAAACCTGACAACAATCATAATCACCCACAAAACCGGGAGACATAATAAACTGGCAACACCAAAAACTATCTTCAAAAGAGAAGAGGCAAAAGAATTCCTCTTTGCAGCCTTGAATGAAACCTTAAAATATTAAACCTCTTTTTTAACGACAGTTAAAAAGTAGGTATTGGTGGAGAATTTTAGGTATTTCCATGTCGGGAATTACATCCACAAGCATAGTTTTAAAATATCTCCTTAAAAATATTCTTGTTTGAGCGAGCAAGGAAATAGGGGTCTTAGCGCGATGGATTAAAACTTCTTTTTGCGTGGCTGTAACTGTGTTGTTTCTTTTGATCATGCATAGATCGAAGGCTTCAGCTGCTTCTAAAAGGAGATAGAAGATATGTTGGTACTCTTCTGAAGTGACGTTCTGGAGGTGGTTGAGGATGCCGTCTGGATCACGGAATTGAGTTTTCATGATGACCTGTGAGAAGAAAACGTAGGTAGGATTTAAAAACATGTTAGGCATTTTATCCTTAGATTTTATTTCTGTGTTCTTTTCCTTAATTTCTTAACTTTGTGATAGACTACAACCGTTTCAAATTAAAACACAATGTACTGAACTGAACGGAATTAGAAAATTGCTTATAGATACACTCGGGTCACCCCATGAGTTTAAAAGTTACAAAATAATAGATACATAGGTATATTATCCACATTATTTTTAAGTCTACCTTTATAAGAGATTAAATGATCAAAGTGTAATCAGAAAAAAAAACACTTTCGTCATGTTTAGGTACTCAATCTAACTTCAGTGTTGCAACAAACAAAAATTATATTTACCCTAGCTCCGTATCTCAGCAACAATGCAACAATCTCAGCGCTGGGCTCCGGGTTGCTGGCGAGGTACTCAGCGAGCGCTGGCCGCAGCTGTGTGGCGTCTTCATCATTGTACACCTTCAAGTTTGGATCAGCACCGCTTTCTAGAAGAATCTGAAATTGTAATTTTTTTTAATCACCTTTTTTATTGGATAAGCCGGTAAATGAGCTGACGGATCACCTGATAGTCAGCAATAGGCGTGGCATGGACACCTGGAGCACCAGAGGCGTAACAAGTGCGTTAACAGCCTTTTTGGAATTGAGAATTTGAGGATCGTGGGGGATTCGGGATGGGGGTGATACGTCTACTGCTGGATTCTGGACCTCCTATACAAAAGAGGGGTTTGCAATAATCTCCATGCATGTCAGGCGGGTTGGAGATCGCAGTATAAAAGGTTCAGATTTTTTATGTGTAGTCCTTTGCTGGGTTCTTACAGTAACCACGGGAAGTCGGAACCGCGGAATGTCTAACGCGCCGGGGCTCCGGCTCGACGAGCAGGAGTAAAAAAGGAGTGGTTTTTAGTCAGTAAGATTCTGACACTTCCTTTTGCCTAACCCAAGGCATTGGATGATTTTCTCCCCTAAAAAAAAACAGCCACGGGAAGTAGGAGTCGTAAAAGTCCTGACGACAGCTTCATTGGTCGAGCAAGGAGTATCTATCGGGTTAACCCCTCGAGCGTCCTTATGAGCACCCGGTGGATCATAAGAAAAAATACTCCATGCTGCTTTCTCTTTTATAAAATCTATTATTGATGTTTTGTTTTTATTTTGACTGTATTTTTATTTCTATTGTAATGATCCTTGTTTTCATGTGCCAATGGCCAAATAAATGCATTTTCTTTCTTTATTTCTTTCTTTCTCCAAATGTCACGTGTGCACCCGTTGGATCATAAGGAACGCGGACGCTCGCTTCCTGGGTCGGGCATAGTATTGCTGGTTCAGGTTTATTTTAGATTTTTCGAAAATCTGTCAGTAATAGTACGAAGTCTGAATTTGTGCTCGGTAAATGTTTAGCGGTAGGTTCACCTCCTATTACATGGGACCCGCATAACATAAACGGACAACGTAAATCTTTACTAATATTATAAATTGGAAAGTGAGTTTGTTGGTTGGTTTGTTCCGCTTTCACGCCGTAACTACTAAACCGATTGCTTTGAATTTTTGCAGACGTAAAGTTAGAAGTCTGGATTAAATAATAGGGTACTTATTATCCCGGAAAAATGTGATATTCTCGAGAGAAAACGAAAATATTGGTATAAATGACGCTGTGTGTATTGGTATATGTCACATAGGCTACTTTTTGTCCTTTTGTGACGCGAGCGAAGCCGCGGGTAAAAGCTAGTATGGAAATAAACAGTAGCTACTTACTTGTACAATTTCTTTCCTATTCGTAATATTGTCGGAGCAGGCAACGTGCAGGGGAGATCCGATCACCGAACTGGATGCATTCACTTGTGCACCTGAAAATGACAAAATTTAAATTAATAAATTCGATATTATCATCACACCTTTTATCCCCGCCCGAAGGAGTAGGCAGAGGTGCACATTACGGCACTTACTGCCACTGTACAATGTAACACCCACTTTTCACTATTGATGTTATGAATCCCATGTAGTAGGGGGTGAGCCTATTGCCATATACCGGGCACATTTCCAGACTCCGTGTTGCTACTGAGATTTTTTATTAAAACCCAGTAATACTTCGCCTGACCCGGCAATCCAACCCGAGACCTCTTGCACGGCAGTCGCACTTGCGACCACTCGGCCAACGAGGCAGTCTCTCTATAAAATCGTTTAAAAGTAATTACTCTTATCAATCTTACCAGCAGCCAACAGCATCTGCAGCATGGCGACGTCTCCCTTCAAGATGGCGAGGTCCAACGGACTGGGCTTGCTGAACTCATTACACTCGTAGTTCACACGAGCTCCCTGCTTTATCATCAGATTCACTACTTCTGGGTTACCTAGAAGAAGCGAGAATGTGGAGTAAGATCTTATATGAATATACATAGTATATACTTTATCTAGAGGTATATCTGTACTAATATTATAAAGAGGAAAGATTTGTACCTATTTTTGTATGTTTGTAATGAATAGGCTCAAAAAGTACTGGGCCGATTAAAAAAATTCTTTCACCAATAGAATGCTACATTCTTCCAATTTGAAATAGGCTACATTTCATTTTGAAAAAAATTAGGGATCCTTGGTAAAATTTGATCAATGTAACCAAAGGTGTAGAAAAATGAGTCTTAAAATGTCTTTCGTTGAATGCGCTGCCGAAACTATTAGGGATAGAACAAAATAATGTACAACAATATTGAAGAACATCATAATGTCTACAAAAAACTCCGCGGTAGCATATGTCCAACTATTGTAGTTATGTCACTACAACAATCCAAATTTCCAAAAATAAATAATTGTCTACCCCGTGCGAAGCCGGGACGGGCTGCTAGTATACTATATTCTTATAAGAATATAGTTTATACTTTATATACTATATTCTTATGTTATACTTACCACTTAGTACGGCATAATGCATGACAGTCCGGTAGTCATTCCTGGCGTCAGCCATCGCATTCACATCGGCTCCGAAACTGATGAGCAGAAGAACAGCATCCAGACCCTGGAAACAGAAGTTGGAATATAATAATCGACCCGGCTGCCGTGCAAAGTGTCGCGGGTTCGGTTCCCGCACGCGGCAATTCTTTGTGTGATAAGCATGACAATATTGAAAGCTGTGTAGTGGCAAAGAAGAGTATATTTGTAACCACCCTTACTCTTTCAGCGGGTGTCATCATAACAAGAGAATATACATTTGACAGAGCAGACGCTCTTTCGGCTTAACCCTTTGAGTACCGTCATTATAGACACAATTAAAGAACAATAGGTTGCGGTTACCGGTGTCCTCGCGGTGTTTGACAGTTTAAACTGCCTTCTGCAAAGCGTGAAGACTATAGCTAATTATATTATTATATAAAAGAAGGTTTTTATTTAAAGAAGCCATCCACCAGTATGAAATAACAAGAAAACAAACTAACTGTTCGATGTGAGAGGTTATCGGACATAATTCCTCTCAATAATACACCAGCAACGCCCTAATAACTCCTTTGGTCCTGCTGCTTTTGGTGGTCATAAGTAATGCTAGCTTTTTTTATTAATGGGACAAGCCCGCCACAATCTCCAAAAACCGCTGCAACCCCTGTACATCAGAATCTACAATAGATACGTCGACCTCATCGTTCGCTTGATAAAATTGACGTGTAAAAGTGCTGCCTTGTAGCCTATTTGCAGAAATAAATTCACTTGTTACAACCATGCAAACATCGGAACACTGAAGTCCGGCGCGTCCCAGGGACATGAACAACTGTCTTGGTTCCCGCAACGAAATGCATCATAAGATATTATAAGAGAAAAAGAAAAAAACGATAGTTTCCAATTCCCTCGGTGAATTACTGCAGGAGACAGAATGGATTAAGCCTAAAGTCACAAACAACGCTGGCTGCTTACCATCCATCAGCTCGTTTGCCCCCATATTTCACAACAAAATCTTTCTTTTGACGTGACAACGTCTTATAAATTGGTTTGCCGGGTGACACTTCAAGAAACTGCGTTACGCTCCGCTCACGTTATGCGCTCATGAGAGCGAGTGAGAGGCACGCGTCCCTTCCACTCGGGCATGGTTAGCCCGCCTAAGAGCGAGAGAGACAGACATAAAAAGTGAAAGGCACGCGTCCCTTCCACTCGAGCACAGTTAGCCCGCCTGAGAGCGAGAGAGACAGAGCGAGAGAGAGAGAGAGAGAGAGTGAGAGAGATAGGCATACACACCGGTTCATGTCTATACGAATGAATATTCACATTAAAATTATTTTACCACTCAAAGTCGTTGTCACGTAAAACTTTCGCCCGTATACCGACTTTACAGGCAACCAATTTTTATGTAGTTATTTGATGGGCCGACGTTTGACCACTATCTCGCCTGGTGGTAAGCGATAATGCGGTCTACAATGGAGCACGTCGTCCCATAAGCAACCTATTGGGTCTTGAAGAATAATATAAGAAGTAAAACTCTGTTATTTATCTAACCTTTCTCTGCCTAGCAGCCTTCATAAGCGGAGTTAATCCAGCTCTGTCTCTGGAGTCAGGGTTGGCTCCAAACGTCAGCAGTAACTCCAAGTATTCAGGGTCGGATACTAAGTTGATCTCTGCTCCGAAGAAGTAGCGCTTGTTGGGGTCTGCTCCGTGTTCCAGAAGAAGACGGGCCACCTCCTGGAGAGACGGTTAGAGTAAAGATGGAAAGAAAGTCTTGTTGTTTGAAGGATTAAACTCAAACTAGAAAGTAGAAAGGTTGAGTTAACTTTCGTGAGACAAACTAAATTAATTCTTATGTTATTTTCGGTTTACTCACGTTATTATTTGACCAGAATGCGTATCATATTCATATTTTTACATATGGACAGCATTCCGAGACCCGTGACGCAGCGACTATAAAACTAGTCGAGTTCATAACATAACATAACATAACATCACGCCTTTTTTATCCCCGAAGGGGTAGGCAGAGGTGCACATTATACCATTGTACAATGTAACACCCACTTTTCACTATTTATGTTATGAGTCCCATGTAATAGGGGGTGAGCCTATTGCCATATACCGGGCACAATTCCAGACTCCGTGCTACTACTGAGAATATTTAAAAACCCAGTAATACTTTGCCCGACCCGGGAATCGAACCCGAGACCCCTTGTCCGGCAGTCGCACTTACGACCACTCGGCCAACGAGGCAGTCGAGTTCCTCGTCAAATAATTACATGAGTAAGACAAAAACATAATAATGAATAATAAAATGTGTCTATTTGTAGTTTAGCGTGATATCGACAAATGAATAAATGGCAGCTGTATTGCAAATGCAAATGTCGTCCTCATCGTTCGCTTGTTAAAATTGACGTGTAAAAGTGCTGCCTTGTAGCCTATTTGCAGAAATAAATTCACTTGTTTCACAAAAAGATTTATTTGTGTTCGGTTGAGCGACGAAAATTTAGGTATTTTACTTTCAAATAATAGTGCACCTCAACTTATCCCTATTGCACGAAGATTTAAATATGTACAATAAATTTCATTTAACAGTGACTGCCTCGGCCGAGTGGTCGCAATTGCGACTGCCGGGTAAGAAGTCGGGTTCGATTCCCGGGTAGGGCAAAGTGGTACTGAGTGTTTATAAATTCTCAGTAGTAGCACGGAGTTAGGAATTGTGCCCGGTATATGGCAATAGGCTCACCCCCTATTACATGGGACTCATAAGATAAATAGTGAAAAGTGGGTGTTACATTGTACAGTGGCATAACGTACACCTCTGCCTACCCCTTCGTGGATAAAAGGTGTGATATTATGTAATGTTATGTTATTTAAAACAGTCTAAACAAATAATTGGTAGCATGGCTTAGGCACTTATCGAAACCGGAACTTTACTTAAACTTCTTATGCCGGAATATTGAAACGTTACTCAATTTTAAGTCGTGCTCAAATATCGTGCCATCTCTGTCATTTTACAAAGAATTTGCAGAGACAGAACTATACTTAAGCACGACTTAAAATTGAGTAGCGTTTCAGTATTCGGGCATTAGTGACGAAATGGTAAAGGTTAACTCACATAATGCTTATTCCTAATGGCCAGCCTCAGCGGTTCGTCACAGAGTGTAGTCCTCGGGAACTCTTCACCAGTGTTAGGCCTATAGTCCACTGCTGCTCCACTCTCTAGCAGCAACTTTACCAGCTCCGTGTACCTGTAACGTATAAGTAGATAACTTGAGTATCCTACTATCCAGAGCAGATGGATCACCTGATGGTAAGCAATCAGCGTCGCCCATAGACACCCGAAACACTAGAGGAGTTACTAGTGCGTTGCTGACATTGGGGGGAGGGGGATAACCCTACGGTAACCTTAACCCCTCGAGCGTCCTTATGAGCACCCGGTGGATCATAAGAAAAAATGCTCCATGCTGCTTTCTCTTTTATAAAATCTATTATTAATGTTTTGTTTTTATTTTGACTGTATTTTTTATTTCTATTGTAATGATCCTTGTTTTTTTGCCAATGGCCAAATAAACGCATTTTCTTTCTTTCTTTCTTTCTCCAAATGTCACGTGTGCACCCGTTGGATCATAAGGAACGCGGACGCTAGATGGGTTAATTACTCGGTAAAGGAAGCGTTGTTTTACGCCGTGTATTGTGAGGTCGTGCTACTACTCCGGTCGAACCGACCCATCCGTGCTGAAGCTTTAGAGATTCACACGTGGTAGTACTTACTCTAAATAAATCTCTATTCAACCACTTCTTTATTACCAACGCACCCATTAAATGCAAGTGTGCAGCCATGTTCAAAAAATAGAAATCAATTTTTACAATTAAGTGTTGAAAGAATAGTGTAGAAGACAATTTTTTATTTTTTTTAATGTCCGTCTGGTAGATTATTTAAAAACATTAGACACGTATTTTTTATTTTATAACGGAAACGAATAGTTTCGAAGATATTATATTGATTTGAAATATCACATGACGTCACTTTTGAGTACGATTTATACTCTAAAATGACGTAGCTACCTTCCACTCCTAAACTTTGATTCGTTTTATCTAAGTATTGTTTTTTTATACGACAAAATAAAACAATACGTGTCTAATACCTCTTCCTTACCTAACTGACGGACTAATTAGATTTTTAATTTCCATACCCTGTCATCATCCCAATTATTACGTTAGTATAGTTTACGTCCGCGGAGAACCTAACGGGTTACCGGGGCTCCAGCTCGACGTGCAGGACAAGGAACGGGGTGGTTTTTAGTCAGTAAGAGTCTGACACTCCCTCCCGCCTCACCCAGACGGGAGTAGTCATTCGATGATGTTCTCCGATAAAAAAGGTCTAGTTTACGTAGTTACTTAACTATTACCTATAGAGGTATATTATTATTACGTCCGTATAATGTAAGGTTTAAGTAGACCTGTACATAAACAAGAAGGAAAATCACTGACCCATGCTCAGCAGCGAGATGCAACGCGCTGTATCCACAGTCGTCCCTGGCATTGACGTCACACCCTCTCACCACCAGCAGCCTGGTGGCCTCCAGGTAGCGCTGCCAGATCGCATAGTGCAGGGGCCGGAGTCCTTGCGTTACTGGCTCATTAACCTGGAGAAAATTAGATGTTATTTTTTAAGAGAGCGTAAATAGGTTGGTTTTGTAACGTCTTCAAATGATACATGGCAATTATGTCGGTGGTTCGATTTTAATTCCCGCACACAAGATCCTGAAATCCCATTAACCCGTCGAGCGTCCGCGTTCCTTGTGATCCAACGGGTGCATACGTGACATTTGGAGAAAGAAAGAAAGAAAATGCATTTATTTGGCCATTGGCACACGAAAACAAGGATCATTACAATAGAAATAAAAATACAGTCAAAATAAAACATTAATAATAGATTTTATAAAAGAAAAAGCAGCATGGAGCATTTTTTCTTATGATCCACCGGGTGCTCATAAGGACGCTCGAGGGGTTAAAAAGAATTTGTTTTTTTGGGATACGTCGGTTTTGGTGACAGTCTGATGGTAAGCAATCGGCATTGCTCATGGACACCCACAACACCAGAGGAGTAAGAGCAGGATTTAATTATTTTATGGGTTTCTAGTACCTACCTCACCAACTCGACGAAACAACGCTTCAGTTGTTTCCTAGCAAACGGTGTTATCACTCCGGTCTACCATCATTCCGGTCGAGCAAACCTATATATGCCAAAGGAAGACTCTTCCACGTGGAAAACCTCTGTTAAATTGTATAGATCCTATTCCTCACCTTGGCTCCACAAGCCAGGAGTATGCGGATCTCATCGAGCGGCACCATCCTGATGATGGAGTCCGCCAGCTCCCGCTGCAAAGATTTGCCCAGAGCCACTTCCGAAGGCATCGTCACTGGAAACAAAGGAAAATAAACTTTAACACTCTGAACTAAAGACATGTTTGGAATGTTAATAGTCAGAAGTGCACAAATTGTATTCAATAACTAGGTTTTCTCCTTAGAGCTGATTTTTCGAACGCCAGCTAAATATCGGAGGAATAATTCTAAATGCTTGATAATTCTTCCACACTTAAAACTGTCGAATCTCAAGTTTATTCTACAGATAGAAACTATCTGTTGTTGAAAAATAAGGGCTTTTTTTTAAGGGGGGAAAATCATCGAATGACTGCTCCCGTCTGGGTGAGGCGGGAGGGAGTGTCAGACTCTTACTGACTAAAAACCACCCCGTTCCTTCTCCTGCACGTCGAGCCGGAGCCCCGGTTACCCGTTAGGTTCTCCGCGATAAAAATAAGGCCTTAGGGCCGATTTTTAAAAGGAATTAATACCTAAATCCATTAATTTAGGTATTAGGAATGAATGAATAAATTAACTAATTAAACCGCACCGGGCGCAGGAGAACACTGGCCATGAGTAAACAAAACGTAAACAAATAAATTAAGAACGACGAAAAAATAACAAACTGTTGCGGCCTTATACATGTTTTATGATAATGTATGTGCCAACTTTCCGCCTAAAAAAGCTATTTACTTATATTATTTACTATCTAACCTCCTGCATAAAAATCAAAATCACTTCGTTGCAATTGCATCGTGAAAGAATGGCTAACAACCTTTCGTTTCTGTGTCGTTGATCCTTAAAATTAATTCACGACTTTGGTAATCTACGGTCAATACCTAATTTCATTTAAGAAAAACGATTAAAGAAAATAAAACAATATTCACTCACTTATAAACGTAGGCATGTTTGCAAAAATATCCGAAAACCCCGTCAACTTCAAATAAAAACCAAATTCACTATAAATTCCTCACTACGACACATTCACAACACTAAATCTGTAATATCAATTCCAAAACACAAATACTAAAGTCCAAATAGAATTTTGGCACCGATTTTACTATTTGCCTTTCTTAAGAGAGATGTTTCCTAAATGAAAAACAAGACACGACTGAGGATAAAATCAATTGATTTTATACATATACGACACACACACGACGTTACGATCAAAACAAATGTCACACTGTCATTAATAAAAAAAACGTACACACAATTGTCTTTGCCAAACAATTCATATACGCATACAAATTCTCATTTTCCCTAAGCGAATTTTCGGGAAATCCTTTTTCAAGACTTCTCTCTAGCGCGCTACATTTCACACAGCTTGCTACGCGCAGTAGTTACAGCTGTGTACAGTCTGTCACTCTCTCAGCACTCCCCTACACTCCCCCTAGCGCGCTACATGTCACACAGCTTGCTACGCGCAGTAGTTACAGCTGTGTACAGTCTGTCACTCTCTCACCACTCCCCTGCACTCCCCTAGCGCGCTACATGTCACACAGCTTGCTACGCGCATTAGTTACAGCTGTGTACAGTCTGTCACTCTCTCAGCACTCCCCTACACTCCCCTAGCGCGCTACATGTCCCACAGCTTGCTACGCGTAGTAGTTACAGCTGTGTACAGTCTGTCACTCTCTCAGCACTCCCCTACACTCCCCTAGCGCGCTACATGTCACACAGCTTGCTACGCGCAGTAGTTACAGCTGTGTACAGTCTGTCACTCTCTCAGCACTCCCTACACTCCCCTAGCGCGCTACATGTCACACAGCTTGCTACGCGCAGTAGTTACAGCTGTGTACAGTCTGTCACTCTCTCAGCACTCCCCTACACTCCCCTAGCGCGCTACATGTCACACAGCTTGCTACTCGCAGTAGTTACAGCTGTGTACAGTCTGTCACTCTCTCAGCACTCCCCTACACTCCGCTAGCGTGCTACATGTCACACAGCTTGCTTCGCGCAGTAGTTACAGCTGTGTACAGTCTGTCACTCTCTCAGCACTCCCCTACACTCCCCTAGCGCGCTACATGTCACTCAGCTTGCTACGCGCAGTAGTTACAGCTGTGTACAGTCTGTCACTCTCTCACCACTCCCCTACACTCCCCTAGCGCGCTACATATCACACAGCTTGCTACGCGCAGTAGTTACAGCTGTGTACAGTCTGTCACTCTCTCACCACTCCCCTACACTCCCCTAGCGCGCTACATATCACACAGCTTGCTACGCGCAGTAGTTACAGCTGTGTACAGTCTGTCACTCTCTCAGTCACCGATAACGGAAGAGATTATATCTATTGATTGATTATAAGCTGTATATTAGTGACAAAAGTATATACAGACAGTCAACATGATTTGATTTGTGTGTAGAAGTGATTGCCAAGAACGTATCATTTTGTTATGTATGGTTCTAAATACTACGTAAGTATTTAGACGTAATATGAATTCACGCGTGTGGCTCAACGATACAAGAAACAATGTCAACAGTATGTGACAGTCAAATCATTGAATGACTTCTCCCGCCTGGGTGAGGCGGGAGGGAGTGTCAGACTCTTACTGACTAAAAACCACCCCGTTCCTACTCCTGTACTTCGAGCCGGAGCCCCGGCAACCCGTTACGTTAATTTAGCATGTATTTTTGTGACTCTTTCACACAAAAACTACTGAACGGACCTGAATAAGATAGTTAAAGTCTAGAATAAGATATAGGTCAGATAGGCAAGTGAATCCACTGGCTGAAACTAGTTCTTTTAAAATAAAACTGATATTATCAGACCACATGGCGCTAACACATGTTATAGTTCACTAGTGAAAGGATATTACGACACATGGAGCAGACTGTGAGTGTGAGGATGGGCAGAATTCCAAGTTCTTGCAGTTTGAGAGTGCGTGTGTATCAACACGTGGATATTATATAGGTACAATAGATTACGCCACGTGTTTTGTTCCGATGTGATGTAATTTTGATTAGGAGTTTGTTGTGCGTAGTAACTTTTGGAAATAAACGATATTTCCATTCCCAAACATAAAAATGTAGACAAATAAGTTTTAGTTTTTAGGTCTCTCTAAACGGTTTACAAAATTAAACGAGGTGATCTGTCGTACCTTAAGTTAAAGAAACAGTACGCACATTTTTGAGTTTCGGTAGGTTCCTGTTTTGGATTGGGTGGAAGGAAACGCCCGGGTGCTATCACTGCGAGAACCGCCCGGAAGACACGGTGGAACATACGATGGCGCTGTGCCTTGCGTGGGCTGAGCACCGCCGTGTCCTCAGGGATGTGATTGGAGACGGCGACTTCTTGCGTCCCGCTTTGGTTCAGACCAGAGTATGAAACGAGGGGGACTGGGATGCCGTCTCCTCCTTCTGCGAAGCAGTCATGCTAGCTAAGGAGGAGGCGGGGCCCCGTGAGGGAACAAAACTCCTTACGCCCTGGCCGTCGCGAGACACTCCCGGCGTCGGGGACCGCGAGATGATGTCCGACCACCGTAAGCACGGGCCTGCGGACGGCGAGCACGGTAACTCGCCGTTCGACCAGAACCAGACCCGAACGAAAGGCAGCGAGCGTTGCGCGCGCACCTCAAATAGCCATCAGACCACCACGGATAGGGCCCAATAGGGCTGATGCTGGCGGAAGACGGTAACGGGTTACCGGGGCTCCAGCTCGAAGTACAGGAGTAGGAACGGGGTGGTTTTTAGTCAGAAAGAGTATGACACTCCCTCTCGCCTCACCCAGGCGGGAGAAGCCATTGAATGATTATCCCTCCCAAAAAAAAAGTCAGGCTGCCATCCAGCCAACTAGATGAAGACAGAATCTAACCCAAACTCCTTGCTTACCAGTTGGAAGTAGTATTGTGACTTATCGAACAACGAGGCTGTTAAAAAAAGCTGAACTATAAAGCGCTACTGCCCAGTCTCTGTCAAATGGAACCGACAATAAATTAATGAAAACTAATTAATAACAACAGATTTATTATTAACAATAAGTTATACGCAATGTGCGCATGCGCACGTCTCTCAGTTCGTCAGGAAACGCGTGACACTATCTATCATTGTGTAATATACTTACCGCGGCCGCCTCGTGGATGGGTTTCCACGTGGCAGATTCTGATTTAAGAGAAGCTTAATAAAAGATGAAGTTCAATTTTTTACACCAGTATCATGCCACGACGCAATTAAGTGACAAAGGCCTTTTTTTAAGGGGGGAAAATAATCGAATGTCTTCTCCCGCCTATGTGAGGCAGGAGCGAGTGTCAGACTCTTATTGACTAAAAACCACCCCTTTCTTACTCCTGCACTTCGAGCCGGAGCTCCAATACCCAGTGACAAAGTACTATAGTTCAAAGTTATTCCGAAAAAGACCAGTTATTTTTATGGTATAAGCTGGTAAACGAGCAGACGGATCACCTAATGGTAAACAATCGACACCGCTCATGGACACCTGGAACACTAGAGGCGTTACAACTGCGTTACCGGCGTTTTGAGGATTAGAAGTTTGAGGATCGTTGGGGATTCAGGGATTGGGGAGATTGGTGAAGGGGAGTAATTGGGCCTCCGGCAACCTCACTCACACGACGAAACACAACGCAAGCGTTGCTTCACGTCGGTTTTCTGTGAGGCCGTGGTATCACTCCGGTCGAGCCGGCCCATTCGTGCCGAAGCATGGCTATCCCACGGTAGAAATAGAAAGTTTATCAAGATCAAGAATAAAATTATCTGGATGATATGAAAGTAAAGAAATAGGATAGGAGAGTAAGCGAATCACCTGATGGTAAGCAATTAGCGCCATTTATGGACACCTGCAACTCTAGAGGCGGTACAAGTGCGTTACCGGCTTATTTTCCTGATCTTACGGTATTGTAATTAAAAAAAATATAAAACTGGTTGGTCATGGATTCACCGAAGTTTTCCCCGACGACAAATATGTACACAATTGGGTTATTTTTCGATAAATATTAAAAAAGGCTAGTTGAAAACTACCCAATTGTGAGAAACTCGAGGAATATGCCAATTAAAATATTCACAATGATCTCATGTCTACGTTAACGGAAATTCAAGAATGATACACTATTCTGTGTTTTAGTAACAAAGAGTTTTAACAACAATACCACAGAAAATTAATGAGTTCATTTTTTTTTTAAATTGTATATTACTGTATTAATTTTTCAATAAAAACTTAAATATTATTAAAATTAACTATTACTAAATTAATATGAAATATATACAACATAATATGAGTTCATTAGTTCTAGTTAAAAATTAGATAATTATCTGTCGTACTCAGATTGACATTGAATGTTCACTTAAACTATTCCTCAGTAAGGATTTTGTCTCGGATACAATTGCTAAGGACTGGGTTATAGTAATCGAAGTCTTTGAGTACGGCAGTAAGACCCACAATACAAACGGGATGAAAAGAATATAGACAAGTCAAGTTATTATACAAGGTGTAGTTTTGAAACCGTGACATTTCTCGGGGGCACGTCACCGAAGTCATAAAGGTTCAATGTAAGAGAAAGTTTCGGGCTAATAGTTAAAAATACGGCTATAATAAATCGTTTAAGTTCGACAGTATTTCAGAATAAGCGACAGCAATGGTTCTTATTGGAGTTTTATGGAATTAGAAATAATATCAATTAAGTGTTTAAGTTTTTGTGTGTTAAGCCGCGTTATAAAACTAGTTACAAGACGGCGGCCTGTACTTCACCCTTACGAATTTCCGTAATTTACTTTTTTTTTTTTTGATTTGGACTCAGAATCGATAGCCGAGTTACCTCCTAGAAAATGACGCGGCTTTAAAACAACACCTTGTATACCGCAATATAAGCTGCATCATTTTTCGCATATCTTATTCTCATATTAAGTTTTAATTAAATACGATCATCATCCTTCTGACCGTTTTACAAACATACAAACTTTTACTTTTATAATATTGGTATGATCAATCCCAATTTCCAGATCAATCGTAAAAATTCGTAACACAATTCATTGAAAAACAAACAAAGAAGGTAACCTGAAAATTCAAACATAACAAAGACGAATTATGGGCAAAATGCCACGAGACACGAGCTTCAGAACGATAACCTCAAATCATACACAACACGAAGACAAAG